GTGTCAACCTAGTTAGCACTGACAACAATGGATGCGATGGTGATGCTAGATAATGACTGTACAAACACTTGGGATTTTCCAAGAAATTCTAACGCTTGGGAAGTTCCCGACGCCTAAACACTTGAGAGATTCTCGGAATCCCGAACAGACTCGATTATCTGCGATACATGAAAAATGAAAATAGAAAATGAAGCTAATTAAAAAGAAAATTTTCAAAAATAAAATGGTGCATGGTGTTAACAGTCGCTACTATAATATAAGTAGTTATTGACATAGACAGCTGCATATCGACGCATATTTTCCAGGCACATGTTCTTGCATCTATTATTAATGTTTTATATATTTGTAAATAATTTTATTCCTTGATTAGCTTAAATATATTATAAATTACTTTGATGTTCTATGTTAAGATATAGTAAAATATTTTTGAAGTACCCAGTTGGTAGGAATATTTCATACATATTGATTGTGATTATAAATAGAATTTACAACTAAATATAATATTACATGCGTATTCCCATTGTCTTAAAAGAATTGAAACAATGTTATATGTATTTTTTTAAATAAATATTAAGTAACAATAATGACTAATAAAGAATAAACTATTAAAATTTATTCCATTCGTTAATTTTTAATTATCTATTAATTTTTTTAATTAACATAAGTTAATCTAATTAGACGTATATTCTAAATGATTATTTATTTATTTATGTACACATTGGCATAATTATAAAATTAATAATAATATATAACATTTACACAATTATTATATTGTGTAATATTTATTATAGTTATATCATTAAAATTATTTGTCACCAAGTTACAAAATTCAACTACGAGCACTAATTTAAAAAAAAAAGATTTATTTTACATAGATATTTTAGAATTTTTTAAATGTATATAAATATAAATGTATTGATAACTTATAAATATCACATTAGCATAATGATTTTAGCTAATATATATATATATAAATATGACTTTCGATATAACGCTGAAGATAAAAAACAATGTTATAAATAGTTGTAATATTACTTAGACCTTCATATATCTTATTTTCTTACTATATTATTCAAGAATACAAAAATAGTGATATATATTTTTCTGCTATTGTTCGGGTTTGAAGCAGTTGAAAGCGGAATCCAAAAGTGGGAGAGGTATAAGCTCCGGGACATTTATGTTTCTAAATACAAGTCAGTGAATTCGGGAAATTTCCAACGCTCAAAACTCGAATATACGATTATAATTCCGAATAGCAATGCCGATGAACCTTCCAAGGCTATATCCTACTGACGTCATGACAAAGATCGGCATAGCAACAGATACAGGTGCGCTACCGGCATCGCAAGCTCCTACGAGAATATTTAAGAGCAGCGCTTGATGCACAGCTCTCTTGTGCTAATACTAATCACACAGTCTCTACGACGGGCTCACTATTCTACCTTCAAGCATTACCACTACAGGCATCACTCACTGTAGTTATTCACGTATGTAAGCATCAAGCAGTTCAACTAACCAATAGTGACGCCACACTATTAGAAGCCGTTACATTTAAATGTAAACTTATACTCAAGAAGCGCCAGTGCATAATTTAAATGTGAAATTAACGAAACTATAACTATAGCATATACCAACATATCGTATATATCTACGTAAGCAGCAACGTCAACACGCACGTTCCTTACAACAACACCAACAGCGGCGGCTCTCACTCCTACGTAAGCAGCAACGTCAAAACACACGTTCCTTACAACCACACCAACAACGGCGACTCTCCCTTCTGCGTAAGCAGCAACGGTAGCACGCACGTTCCTTACAACTACACCAACGGCAGCGGCTCTCACGCTTACATCGGCGGCTAAGGCAGCATCGTCTCACTCGCTCCTGTGGTACGTGCCGGCTACAACAGCGACACTTCTCGTGAAAGGAAGGAGTCACGCCTCACACTACCGAGAGTATACACACTCTCATCAGCACGTACAATAATTGAAGAAACTTCATACATAAGTCACTCATAATCTCCATTCATACACTCCTATAACCATTGACTATTATTATATTATTGTATTTAATAAAAGAAAGACTAAAATGTACAGCGTGTAGAATTGAATAATTGCATTGCCTCCTCCACTTGCCAGTGACACCTCCACCCACCATCACTGGAAGGTTTTTCAGACTAATCCCAGACGGCTATACGTTATAGTATTTATATATAAACCTTCGTTTGAAATCGTGAAAGTTACAGAATAATAACGCTATAAACTTATTATATAAATTTAAATTATATATTTATTTATGTTTGTACCATGTATTATTCTACAAAAATATAATTTAATTTACAAATTATTTTCACATAATAAAAGAAAAAATAATATATGAAATGCAAATTACTTACACTGTGAAGTAGTTTAAAGAAGAATATCTAATAGGTAACATTTGTAAACTACATAAGACATTCCAATTCTTGTCATTATATAATAAAAGAAGTCCTAATGCATTAATAACATTATATGAAGAAAAATTAAGAAATGAATTTAAGAATATTATTCTTTCTGCATAGTCAGCATTTTTTGGTTCATTGTTTAATTTTAAACAATGAACTCTATTAAAACAACTGAAATAAGGATATTCAGCTCTAGATAAAATAATCAAAGAATGTAATGATGAATCATTATTATCAATTCGTAACGTTTGTACAATTTTTTTCAAACAATTATAAAGTTCAATTGATTGGCCTGTTACTGTGATAATTTGTTGTGGTTTTATTTGTTTGCATACACAATCAACTATATAAAAAGTATTTTTGTCTTCAAACATATCTTCTACAATATGTAATGTTGAATCATATCCATTATAGAAAACTATACCTATATTACTTTTATTATATACCAATGACAAAATAATCTTAAATAAAACAGACTATAATTAATATATAAATTTATTACACAAAAAAGTGAAGTTAGTAAGAAATACTAACGTGGTTAGACTGAGTATACATATTAATTTAATAGTATAGATAATTTGTTGACAATGATATTGTAAAATTTTAAAAATTCCAGGTTTAAATGTAATCAAATCATTTGAAAATTAATTTACTACAGCAAATAATGATTTTCATTGTTTCACTTTTTTTTTAATAATAATCAAGATTTAAATATAAATTTTTATATTTTTGAGAGACTAGAAACCATTAATTTGAAAGAAAATTATAGGGTTCATATATTTCTATTCAAAAAATGAATTGATTACCAATATATTATAAATTAAAAATAATATTCAAAAGTATATGGTTATACCATTTAGAATTCATTTAAGTTAGGTACAAGATGAAAATATAGAATTTCTAAAAATATAAAATAAATTTTAATCAAAGAATCTTATTGATACTTAGGTATTTTACTAAAAGAAAATAATCTGATATAATATTTTTATGACAAACTTCTCACTAATTTATTTTAACAAGCAGTTACTAGTTATTCCTTTGACAATATTTTATTAATTTATTAACTTATGTATTATATTTATATATATATATATATATATATATAATGACATTACTAAAGTAATAATTAAGTTTTTTAATATAATACATATTTATATTATTTTATAAATTCATTATCAATACAATTATTAATTGGTTATTTATTATATTTCAAAATAAAAAAAATATAATACAATTTCATAAAAACTATTTACTTATAAATTACTAGCCTTATAAATATTTTTAAATAGTATTTAAAAAATAATTATTCTTAAACATATAATTCTTAATTTTTCTTATTTGTGAGAGTATAAATTTTATTTTGAAACATTATTTATATTAAAATGTTCAAAATTAAAAATTCATTAAATAATTGAATTAAAACTACATTATTTATTAAATAAAATTATAATTATTTATAAATGGCTTTTAACAACAATATTACTTGTAAAATTTATTTAAATTTTGCAAATTAATCAATATAATTTTAATGATATGACTAATTTTGTATAAAATTTATATTATAATTTTTTAATTAAAACTATTAATACTACTATGCGTAAATACAAAACAATAAAATTAACATTTTTATTATGAAAAAAATGTGTATTAATGCAATGCAACAATCAATGTGAATATATGTTCATTTAAAATACATATTATTTTCATTAAATATATGATTTATTCAATTTATTCATTTTAGCAATAAATAAAATATGGAAAATTTATAAGGTTCTTGTTTGACAAGTGCCTCATTAATCTGGAATTAGTTATTGAATAAAAAATATATTAAATTATATGACTATTTTCATTTATTTACGTAAGTCGTATTAATGTGAAAAATTTATATTATATAAAAAAATCCAATATTTGGAAAATGTATCTTAAAAAAGAATTTTCAATGTACATAACTACATATAGTTTAAAAACCATTCATATTTGTTAGATATTTATATAATACAAACGTGTTTAAAATTCGTAAAATATAAGTAACTTGTATAAGTTTAACATTAGTAAGTCCAAAAAATTTTAAAACAAATAGTGAATTATTACAATAAAAGTTTTCAATTTATATATCAATTTGATATGTAATTAATGTTTAATTTTTCATTTATTATGTGGGCAGTTATAATGAATGTCAACTGGTTATTCGTCAAGCTCTACAGATTGATGATTTTTAGGCCTAAGTAAGTCTATTTGAGACAAGTTGTTAGTTTGATTTGTGTAATGTATTTGTTTTATTGATATTTATTTAATAAGAAATTATGTTAATATTTTTATACTAATATTACTAGCGTTACAATTTTTAAATGAAAATTGTTAATTTTAATAACAATTTTGATAAAAATTAAAAAAGTTCGTGATATTAATTTAAATATTCAATAAACGTTATACAGTTATTGAATAAAAATTGAATACTTTACTCCTTCGAACAATTATATTCTATTTCTTAGAAATCAAAATTTTGTCAATTATGCGGAAATACTATTTTCTTTTTTATTATTTAATAATGTTTATATACAGTCAGAAGTATGTTTGGGCATTTAATATAGAAATTGATCACTATACAATTTATAAAGGTGGAATACAATCTATGTTTGGTTTTTCTGTAGCACAATATCGTGATGAAAAACATCGTGGTTGGTAAGTAGAACACAAATATTATTCATGTAAAAAAAAAGACCTTATTTGTTTCTTAATTTACAATATATTAAAAAATTATAATGTTCAAAAATTCTTATTATTCATTACAAAATTTATATCAATATTCGCTTTAATCATAAAACTGAAGATATTTTATACTTTTAGATATAAATTTAATTCAATTATAACAATTTCAACTTTAATTAAAATTTAAGTATAAATGTTTTAATTCAAATATTAATTTTTCCAATTGCTTTAATTAAAAATGTTAGAAGAATATAATTATAAAATACAGTAATAACTTATTGTTCCATTTATCCAAATTTTTTTAATTCACATGATGAAGACATATTTTTTGCAACAAATTCAGTTGATTCTAGAATCTTATATTCAAATATTTTCAAATTATAAGAATGGTATAAAAGGATATTGAGTAGAGAATATATTATTTAATTAGTGTATAAATTTAATACCACATAAATAAATGCTTATATATATATATCAAAAGAAAAATAAACAATGATCATATAAAGAACAAATTTATATGGATATATCGTTTTTAAAACTTTATACCTTTATGACACAATTAAAGAATTCTTTTACTTTGAAGATTAATTCATTATACATTATAGTATACTCAATCTATCATTGTGTAGATCTTTACAATCATATTTATGAATAATTTTCCAAGTTTTCCTTGTTTTATCATTTGCAATATAAACTGTTGAAATTCTTGATTCTTAGTTGTTTAAAAATATATTCAATTATTTTACTAAGGATATTTTTCATAAAACTTTTTTCATCAAAATATATAATACAATACAATAGATATATTTATAAATGTTTATATGGCTCAGTCTCATAGCAAGGAACCGTATATTTCTAATGTATTAAAATTGCATATATAAAGTAAATATAAGTAAACATAATCCATTTATTTTATAAGATTATTTTAGGCCATAAATGCCATAAAATTTTAAAGCTAAGATAATTTTATATTTAAAACAAATAGTTTTATACATATGTAGAACACAATTTGGAATAGTTCTATTATTATTTTTTTTGTATTATTTTATTTTAATTATCACATTAATGAAAAAATAGAATAAAGTAATTATTACAATATGGATGTACACATGTATAAGATATAGATATTTTGAAATATTATTTACTTTTTGAAAGCTATTATGTAAAGAATATGTATTGTTTATTTTGCTTGCCATCGTCTTTTCTAAATAAATTTGTATTTAATTATTATTTAGTTAGAATTTTCAAAGACAACTCTATTTGATGAATATTTTTATATATTTTTCATAAGTTTTCATATATTTAATCTATAATTAAAATAAATTATGTAAATAATTAATCAAAATATAATAATGCATAGGCAAAAATAAGAAAAAAAGTTGTAATTAATAGTTTTAAAACTATCTTATTATCATATTATCATATTCAAGCTGTGAATCGAATCCTGAATATATTCTAAAATTATATAATATATATTTTATTATAATGTAATATTTTATCTGATTAAAATTATTGTAAATATTTTGAATATTTATATTTCATTACTTTTTTTCACCAGTTTCATACCACCTTTTTAAATAAGAAATGTAAGTCTTATTAAGACGATTTTCCTAACTAATATAATTTTTATTTAATATAATAATGTAGATAAATGAAGTGTTAGAGAACAAAATAAATTAAATTTTTCTTGGATAATACGTGAAAATATCTTTTTAATAATTTTTAATTATTTACTTTTTTATGAGTATTTTTCAATGACTTGTTAATAAAGTGTAACATTTCTATTAAAAATTTATTGCAGGATTATAGTTGGAGCTCCATTAAATCAAACTTATCAAAAAGATATTGAAAAAGGTGGGGCTGTATTTAAATGTGATATAGCAGAAGATAATAGGTGTTTTCCTATCGAATTCGATAAAAAAGGTACAAAATTATTATAATATTGAATCGAAAAATATTTCGAATTTTTATATATATTTATAAAATCAAGTTATAATAATAATTTATATATTGATAATATGATTCAAGTTGCACATACTGCTCAATTCGATATTCGCTTAAGCAATATAATTAAAAACATAATAATAACAATATAAATAAAAACTTTATATAAAATACCATCAAAGTTACTAAACAAGATTTGAAGATCGATTAATGATTGTTAAAGTTATATTTTGATTATACTGGTTGTTTTAATAAAGAATCATTGTATTATATTATAATATATATAATTCAAGTAATAATTTTTGTACCAAATTAAAATTTTAATAAATTTAACATTTATAAATTTAATAATATGTAATTACTAATATTTTAATTAAAAGTATTAAATTGTTTTTAACCTTGAATTTTATCCACGTTTCTCTTTATATCTATTTATTTATTATGTTCAAATCATTGGATTTTTATTAAAAACAAGAAACATCCAAAATCGTAAAAAATACAAAAATAAGGTGTTTAAAATTTTAATCTTAATATCTGAATAATAACATTGATTAAACCTTGTATTCTAAAAAAATATAAATAATAATAAGATAGTGTACAAATTTTAATAATTCTGATTTATAATAATAATTTATTTAGTTATTGTAGTACTATTATAGTCGTATTTAATTACTTATAGTTATAATTTTTCTTCTTACTATTTCATTCGTCTGACCCAGGACGAAATCTCTGCAAATACATATGTTTACTATCCAAGATAATTAAAAGTATTTAATTGTATTTATTTAACTTAATCCCAAATAAATAGATTTAGCCTACAATTTTTTATTAAATTACTTATGTTATTACTTTTGCCTCAAGAGAATAAATAATAATATTCAATACTTCAACTGATATATTAGGATATTTATCATAATATTTAAAATTATTATGGACTGCTTTACTATATTTATTAAAGTAGAAACCTTCTCATAATAGCAGCACATATTGAGATTAAAGTATTTACGCCATTAATGAATCAGAGGGAAATTAATAAATAAAAGACTTAAAGCATTATTATTATAAATTATAATGAAACTTGATTTCTGCATTTGTGATAGATACAAAAAAATATTTCTAGAATCCCAACACAACTTATTCTGCTTTTCTATTTAAAGCTTCGCAGAATATGTTTAAGTGAAGAACGCTTTATAAAAAATATTGAAATTGAATATAATTAATAATTATTATTATTAAAAATTTATTAACAATTCCGGAATAACTAACTTAATTTTAAGATTGTCTTAAAAAACTTTAAATCGGCTTTACAATTTATGACGTTTTGATCAATATACCATTTTTTTTTAGAAATTTGTTGCAAATTATAAATCAATTTAAGTGATATAAAAATAAATAAATAAAAATTTTCCTAATTATAGATAAAAAATAAAACAGATACACGATTATACGAAATATACGATATAATAAGATATATGATTAACTAAAAAGACGATCTATTTGATAACCGATTGTATCAATTTTGTATTACAATAGTTAATGGATTTATGTAGGCTATACTTTTATAAGAATTTAAAAGTAGATACAATATGTTATTATATGTTCTCAATATTTAAACAACTCTTTAAATTATGAAAAAATTACCAATACATTCCAAGCTGGAAGCGTTATTAATTTTATTGTTTACAAATAAATAAAAGCATATAAATCTAATAGTAATTTTAGGAAAAACAACATTTATAAATAATTTTAAATAATTTAAATATCTATGTTGCAATAAACAGAATACAATTTAACTGTTTTATTGTTTACATTCTAAAAATTATCAGTGGTTAAAATTTATTATACATTATATATAAGAAAGTTTGTATAGTATGTCTATTTGTTAGTATTACTAATACAAAATATAAATTAATTTGAGATATAGCTCAAAATTTTTATAATAATTTGAAGTTTAATAATTATATGTAAAAAATTTTTACATATAAGTTTATTTTAAGTACTATGTTGAAATCTAATGAAATTTCTTATTAGATTTCATGCCAATTAAAATCGATAATGTAATTAATTAAATTGAATTTTAGTAATATTTGATAATATTAATAAGTGATCATACAATTATTTGTTTTTATAAATTGTAATTAATTGTAAACAAATTGAATAATAAAAATTTTTATTAACATAAATCGTGAAATAATTTTTTTAATATATTTTTTATTTTATTTATATTTTCATTTACTTTTATTTATATAAATGCAACGTTTTTGAAATATCATTATTTAGTAATATTTATCAATTTATAATTTCTTTTTTGTCACTAATACTAAATTAAAATATTAGTATGGTAACGTCGTAAGTCCTTCAAATTTATTTTTGTATGCTCTGATGTATAACCACCCCTTTGATAATCCTCAGCATTAACTACGGAACCTCGCTAAGCATGCACTAACTGAAAATATTGATTAATAGAGACCAGTTTTTGTTTTTAAAGTTGTGGTTCAGTTTTAGTACATATAAAAGAATAAGAAAAGCAGATAATGACAAAATGTATTAAATTGTATTCATTTTTATTGACATGCCACAAAATGCCAAATCTTAGAAAGAGAAAGAATAAAATATACTATTATATAAATATTTATATGTGATTGAAATGATTTGTAATTTCAGGTATCGATTATGTTAGATCGACAAAAAATTCCAAAGGTATAGAACCTATTGATGATAAATCATATCAGTGGTTTGGTGCGACAATATCAACTTCAATGAAAGATGGAGGCCCACTATTAGTTAGTATTTAACATAAGGATATTATAATTGTGATTGTTTTATTTGAATATATTGTATATATACACTATTTGGATTATTCAACGTAGAGATGTTTTAATGCAAAGTTTCCTGTTCTAACATAAAGTGCAAGTTCAGTACGAGGTGTATTAGCTTTCAACCATTTTTATATATTCATATCTTTCAGTACCAGCCCCTTAAATTTCATACTAAATAGCTCATTTTAAATAATCGTGAAGATTTTACTAATTATGGAAAGCTGTAAATATAAGGGAAAAGTTAAAATATATAAATTAATATCATATAGGAAATATCTAACAAATGTTAAAATTAAATGTTAATTAATTATCTAACAAAAATGTTGTTCCGTTGTTTACAGCATAAAGTATCATTTGGTTAATATATTTACACTCAATACATGAGCACCCTATCTAAAAGAGTTGGGACACATTAAAATGTATATTTTAATAGTTTCATCAAGTTAATTAAATTTTTTTTTGATAGATGATAAATTAATACAGTTATAAATATTTAAAATTTATAAATAAAACGATAATTAAAATTATTTGATGATTACTCATTGAATTATCTGTATATCTGTAACTAACATTCTCTAATATAGTTTTAGCAATTTCCATCACAACTGATCAGTTACTTTAGATGCACATTGATATTAATACGGAATCATAATCTTGATTAAAAACTATCACACTGATTGTTTATTTTTAAATTAAGAATAATTTACTTTTAGTATAAATAAATTATATTTTATTAAATTTTGTATTGTAATATTTTATATTATTTCAGAAATTATTTAAAATATTCATCATAATTATTTTTTTTATTAACAATAAAATAAAGCTATATATATTGTTCGAAACTGTTTGATTTCTTGGCTCGAACTGCCAATGTTTCGATGGCTTTAATTTACCGCCCGCCCTAGCGGGTACTTGGGAAGGAGGTAAGTGAAAGGGCTTTAGAAATACAGTATGCATTTCTTCGAAAAATATGGTTTATTTACAGTTACACTATTGTTTGGTTGGATTTATATGTTATGGAAGGGTATACACTATATTCAATCACATCGTTACAGTTGCTTCGAACTAATCTTGTGTTGAATAAGTTATCTACTGGAGATGCTCCTTGATGTTGATGAGTTTAATTTTCTTGCTGATTTTGCAAGGATTAGTAATGTTCAAGCACACTCCTTATTATGGAGTATGTATTGTGTAGTCTGGCATTTTCTGGAGGTAGTGTTAACACCCTTGATTTGTAGGGCAGGAGAATTGACGCGTCTTCCTTATGTCGTGGCCATACTTACAGCTTGATCACTATAGTATCAACAGTAAGAGCCTTCTTTCTTCTTCCTTGATTTCTCCACTTAGACAGTGCTTGTGGTTGTGACGTTCCCACTTGTAAAGCCACTGACCAAATGTCCCAGCTTAGAGAACGCCTCTGCCTTATGTTTCTCCAATCAGAGTGCTCCGGGGACTTAGGCGTCTTCAATCAGAGCACGACCGCATGAGCGCGCCTCTACTTGGACCGCCTTTCTACTTTTAACGCTCCTAGTGGCTGCGCCTTCAAACAGAGAAAGTAGTCTTAGCTTTCCCGCCAAAAGGAACCTCTGACCCAAGCGCCCTCGCTTGGCTAATCCAAGCGACAGTATGGCCAGATTTGAAAACAGTGGATGTGGTTGTGTACCGATAGATTTTAATATTTGGGTGTAATGACTATTTCCAGATGTTTAGCTACAACGGTTTTTTGCAGATGTCTGACACTAGCGAAAGGTTCGCGTAATCTCGAACATATATATATATATATATATATATATGTGTGTGTGTGTGTGTGTGTGTGTGTGTAAATACACTGTTCGAGAATGTAAGAAAACTCCCAGCTCATTAAACATCTGGAACATTCGAGATAAGAGTTCCGAAAAAAGCGAACTCTCGACTACTCAAGGAATAAACATTCAAACGCGCCTCGGATTAACTAAATTTAAACAATTCAGCAAACCTTCGAATATCTAAAGAAAATACAATTTAAAACACATTTGGCGAGAACAAAGGTCCAAGTGTCCAGCAAAAACACGTCATAAAACTAAGCATCTATCGTAAACAAGTTATAAAATTAGTCTGAAAAACACAAGCCAGATGATCCACTCAAAAACAATGCTACACCTAATCTTCGCAACGCGCATGATTACAAGAAACGCATGCGACGATGCTAGGATGGAGAGGGAAAAGCGCGGCATCAAGACCCCCGTCATTCAGGGGAGTTGAGCAAGACCCGCTCTCATTGGAGCCTCCATCTTGGAAGACTCACTGGTGGGAGACCACACCACTCAAAAGGCGCTTTGATTAGAAATACCATAAATTAAAGAAGACTTCTGATTGGACACACTAATAAGACTAAATCTCATTGGCGATGCCATGATCGACAAGACAGCTCTGATTGGCGACACCAAAAGAGAGGGAATTCTCACCGACCACCGCGTGGTCGAGAGAAGGCTTTAAAAAAGGCAACGCCGGCATGACACAATCACTTATCTTATCTTATCTAACAGAAAATGAACAAGTCAATTAAACGCAAAAGTCCAAGATTAATCTATTCAACACAAGTACTAGATAATCAAATCATACACTCGCAGCAGTGTAATACAAAAAAGGGCAATCGAGAACTACGAATATCAGTTCGCACAGTATACACAATCAAACTGCAAGTAGCCGCTCGAGGCAAATTCAAAAAACAAGACAAAACATAGCTCAACACAACGTGCAGAACTACGAGGTATCGTTCCATTCCTAATTAATACATAACTATAACAAGCCATACGCGTCAATCTGCAGATACGTAAAGCTATCTGCAAAACACAAATACAAGCAATTCAAGCAATCGCCACGTGCTCATATACAAGGAAGCGCGGGGGTTTACGAACTCGCTCTTCTGTGTGTATTATTCCATCTACACGTGTATTACATATAGAGGAACAGCAAGGCTTCAACTTCTTCCTGTGTATGCGACGTCCGTGAACGCTCAGTGGTAATAACACATACAAATCAAGAAAAGCAAATGTTCAATCATAAAATAAAACTCATTATAATCAACTAGTGCAATTATATAAGTAAAACAAAACCACTCTTTATTGAATACATGTACTATCTTGTCCACTAGCCTGCAATCCTCCTATCAACATCGGGAGCTCTCACCTAATCTTAGATATTTCGTCCTCCTCGCCCGGTATTCTATTTTTAGACAACTATATATACATTAATAAGTAACATAATTAACTTAATTTTAAATTACTAAATCAAATAATTTAAAAATATTTTGAATAAATATCCAATGAAATTATAATTTCATTTTATAGGCTTGTGCTCCTAAGTATCATTGGTTTGGTTATATTAAAGCTAACTGGTCTGTTGCTGGATTTAAAGATGTTGTTGGTACATGCTGGATAAATTCAATGAGTGATGGGTCATCTATAGAATATTCGCCATGCCGTAACAGTAAGTATTATTTTGAAAGAAAATACATTAGATTTTATTATTAGTTGAATAGGTTAAATTTTATTTCAAATGCTAATATTTTTTTATTACACTTGCGTCTGTTTTCCGTTCTTATTTTTAAAGAATACGGATAATTATATGTTTATGTACATTATGAATACTTAATAATCATGATGTATCTATTTATTTATTACTAATAACAATTTAGTAATTTATATCGATCATTCGATAGACATTATATGGAACAACTGGTAACAGATAGGTAAATGCGATACGTAATATTAAATTCAATGCATTACGGAATAAAAATGAATAAACTATCTGTTCTGTAAATTTGTTGGAGGAATTTTATTTACTTGCTTCTCATTTTAGTAATTTATACAATTGAGTTATTGTATCTTGATTACAAAAATACTGTCAGTATTTTAAACAATACATTTCAATTTCGGTCAAGCAATCTATTTTATAATTTCACAAATATGTAAGAAAAAAATATATAAATGTATTTAAAAAAAAAAGCTTATTAAAAATGAACATAAACGGATTGGTTCCGAATAATCAGTAATCTAATATTAATGATTTTTTTTTAAATATCATTACTTTTATTTTAATGAATTTATATCATACTTCAAAATTTTTGAATTACAAAATTTATGTTATATTCTTGAAAAACCTCGACATATTCTTTGACATTGTTTTGTTCATGCAATAAGAATGTCATAATATTATTGCATAATATAAATTAAAAATACATTAAAATATACGTAAAATAAAGTCACATATTTTCTATGCACTATTATGAAACATAAAAAGTAAATTTTCAGTATACAAATTTGAAATATCATATACCTTATATATATTTATCAATTGTAATGATAATTAAATTCTTTAAATTTATTGAAAATATGACTTCAAAATTTGAGATAAATATACATATGTATTTCTTTATATATTTTTAATTTTTTGCTGTTTATATTCATTTTTAAATTTTTGTTCAGCAAAAAGTGTATGTGATATAAATAAACGTTACATATAGAAAATATTACTAGTAATTTACTCAATTTAAATTTAGACCAAAATTTGTCATTTTTTAATATAAAACATCCAATCGAAGTTAGCACTAATGTTAGTAGCTATTTGCTATTTGACAATTTTGATAAAAAAGCAAAAAAAAAAAATATATAAAATGATATTTTAGTTAGCAATAGCTGTATTGATTTCCACTTATTCCACGTGACGTAATTGATAATTAATATGCTTCTTTTAAAATTAGAAGTTATCAAGGCGTTTCATTTCAGCAATGAAATACTATTAATAATAATTAAGTTCTTGATATTAATGATACAAATTATACTGATTAATCGCGGTTTTATAAAACTCAACAAAGAAGACATAGATTCTAAATGAATTTCATAGTAGTCCGTGTTTGTTTTTGGTAAATTACAATTAAAAAAAAAATATATATATATATATATATATAGGAGTGTTTGAAAATAACAAGGAGCTATCGAAAGCCCATGTTTGTTACAACGTACTGACAGTAGTTCTACCATCACTTCTACAATTTGGCTCACAGTGTATTCAGCAAAGTGCCTGCTTCAGAATATGAAACTCAATCATTATCTTTAACTTAAAATAAAAGGGTTCCATTCGTATTACCACTGTATTTCTAAGTATGAAATTTTGAAGCTACGTAAAAATTGAATTTTTAGTACTACAAAACTAAAAGAAATTTACTAACTTCGTTAAAACGATCAATAAACTCGAAGCAATTGGAACATTGAAATGAAAAAAAAATTAATTACTGTTGTATATAAAAACAATGCCCTCATTATAGATCTGTTTAAACGAAAGTAATATTGGTTAAACACCAGTGAAAGTAAATTTTTTCAAGAGTACAATTGAATAAAGGCACATAAAATTTTTCTTTTTGTTTCTTACTTGTTTCATCAATTTAATATTAGATCGTATATTAATTTGTTTTAATAATAGTGTTAGTTTTTTTATTGCAATGAAGCTCATTTTGTAATTTAAAAAGAAAATATTTAGTCTATATCTTATAATGATTTAATACAGTTTATGAGTAACAGTTTAAAAAATTTTGTATTATAATTTTTATCGATACAATCATTTTATATTTACAATCATAAAATATAATGATTTCTTTTATTTCTACCTTTTACAGACGATACAGCCGGACATCATCGTCAAGGAATGTGTCAAGCTGGAATAGGTGCTGCCTTAACAAAGGTAATAATATTTTAAAAAGTAGTCTGCATATATAAAGCGGGGTTATTTTTTGTAATGACATCTGTGTCGATCATCCTATTTATAATACATAGTATTAAAAACAAAACAAAAATTATAGAATCCAAATTCCAAAAAAAATTTTATTACACTGTGTTCGAAATTCTGAGAACCTCGAATGTTATCATTTCTGGAAAAAACTTCAACGGTAGTTGGATATCCAGAAAAGCCGGTACATCTGAAAAAAAACAAGCACACAAACACCTCCATTGTTTCTTGCACCACAGTCACATCCATTATTTCTAGCACCATAATAATTTCCATTGTAGTCAGCTAACAAAGCTACCGCGTGGATATTCAAAGCAAGCACACCACGAGGCGAAAGCAGTAGATTTTCAGTCAGTAAGCCAGTCAGTAATGCTAGTCAGCCATGAGGAGCTAGTGTGCTATATCCACGAATGCTCACCACAACGGAAGACGCGTCAATTTTTCTGTGCTGCGAGATAAGGATTCGACAATATCTCCTTCATATTAAGAAAATGCCAGACTACTACAATCATCACAAGATTAGGTTAAGGTTACTGTATCTCTATAAAACAAGTCTAAGGTATAAATCGCTGCTAATCCTGCAAGATTAGCAGAGGCTATCATTATTCGATGCTAATCCATACAAGATTAGAAAAGACTATCATTATTCGTTGCTAATCTTTACAATATTAGCAAAGGCTATTATAAATAGATAACCATACTCACTAATAAAGAGTATGCATACTTACAAGATCAACCACAACATCATCATCATCAAGGAGCAGTTCAAGAACATAGTATACACCCTTCCATCGTATAAATCCAACACATCAATAATGCAATTGTAAATAAACCATATTTAACGAAGAAGTACACACTGCTTCCTAAGTATCCGCTAGGACTTAGGAACTTATTATAAAGCGATCGCAACATTAGCAGTTGAAACCAGAAAGTCAAACAGTTTCGAATACACTTCATAAAAAATCTTAAATAAAATATTTAATTTACAAAAGTATTATAATTCATTAATACATGTCTTACATGTTAATTATTTATTATTGTACTCGTATAGAAGTCAAAAATTTTAGAATTCAAAATTGTTAAAAAAATGTTAATATTAGGATATTCATTTAATTTAATTATGACTGTAAAACTAGTAAAACTGTTATTGTATATGTAAATACTGTTCAGGATTAACGTATTTAACCAAAAAATTTAATTTCCTAAACTTTTAATCATAATCAGAAAATTTGCTACGAAAAATTCTCAAAAAAAGCTAGAAGCTTCGCCTAAGAAAGACTTATAATTTATCCGCATCGCAACTAAGGAAGAATCACGAACCGGCTAAAGTTCACTTTCCGAGAATTTGACTGAATTTGAAACTTATTTGAAATAAACTCTAGCAACACGCGAGAAAGCTTCGGCATAGCAATACCAAAGGTATTAGTTCCAAACTCTAAATCTACGCAACCATATATAAAGAGCAGCGACCGTTGAAGTAAAGTAGTCTTGTTGAGTAAGTCAAAGTGAAATAGCGCAAGCCACACTTAGTAAAGTTCTACACGTCTATCTACCAGAATCCGTGCAAGGTATACTCATTTGTTTACATTATTTATTGCTGACCAACTAACGGTGCGCCCTCCGCAAGTTGCCTGTTGTCAGACCGTACTGAGGATGCCTGTATAGCCTAGCATCACTAGCAAACTATTTATGTCATTTATTCTTATTGCGGCACAGCGCCGACATTATCGGCAAGTCCTCTGTAACTTGATTATTATCAGACCTCTAAAGAGGGCGTCGATACTATCTGGTAGCCCCCGCAATTCTTATCATTATTGCGGTAAAGCAGCTACAGTACAAAAAGACCAGTCTCTCCTTGCACACCCGGATGACGCCCTGCTCACAACGACCGATAAAAACAACAATCAATTGTAACATAACCTTAAATAAATGTTACTAAAACTTGTGCTTATACTGAATTGATGCACTACCCTATCACCCTCCCTTTCCACTATTAAACCGATGGTACGGTCTAATCCAACCACCTTGGTCACCTGACCATCCGGGTGGCTACAATTCCAAACAGATACTAATATTCAAAACATCTTAAAGTTTGATTTTGCTTTATAAATACGTATGAAACAAGCGCAGGGTTTAATATAGTATTATAAGAAAAATAATTAATTTAATTATTTTTTTGATTTTTAATTTTAATGATAATATAATTCCTTTAATAAAAAATCAGATAATTTTCTTAAAATTAAAAATATTGAAAATATTTAATCTGATGATTCATATATAAAATGTGTATCAAAATTTTGTTAAATTATCAAATTTAGTTTCTGTATAAATATTAAAAAGAAATGTGTAACAACATATCAATACCTCACTATTTGAAGAAAAAAGTTTTTTATTAAAATATTTTTTATTTCTAATTGTACATAATATTTTAATTTAACAAATATAATGTGTATTAAAAACATTTTAGGATGGGAAACGATTATTTATTGGCGCTCCTGGTAGTTGGTATTGGCAAGGTGAGACACATCTTTAATTTTTGTATTATTGCTTGATCATATAATTCAAAGAATTTTTTTAATTAACATAATTATATGCAAATAATAAGATCTTTTTGGATAATGCATATTATATTTTATTAATTTGTTTATCCAGTAAATTATGAATTAAACTTTTCAAAACATTAATGGATCAAAATATTTAATATTAAAAACGGGGAAAGGATTGAATTTTGATCATACGTAAATATGAAAATGAATAGATCAATTTTCAAAAACAAAATACTCATTCAGCTATATTACTTACAATTAATTATAAGATCTTACTGGATTTTATATTATTTGTATATTTATACTAAATTGGTCATTTCTAAACTTCGTATATTAAATTTCTGTAAACTTATCGTAACAATTTGATTTATTGCGAAAGTAATTCTTCTATTCATGCCCCAGATCTTGGATAACTGCTGATTAACAACTTTTCCTTCATGAAAAGAGAAACTTTCAATCTTCATTTATATATTTATTATTATTACACATTTATATATTAACCATTTGGTAACTCTACAATATAATATCGAATAGTATCGAAAATTACTTCTGGTTTCAATGCTCATTATGTATTGTTTTTGGATAATGGATATCCTCGGAACTTCGTACATATTTAATTCACGAGAATATATAATTACCTATTTCTGATGATTTTAAAAAGATTTTTTCAATTGTATATATGCAGTAAAATTGAATTATCAGTGTTGTAGAATCGATAAAAAATATGTTAGTATTATAAATGTACAATCTTATTTTATTAGCAACTCACTATAATATTTTCTTATTGAATAATTGTATTTGCATTATTATAAATAACTCCACAACCAACTTTACAATATTTAAATAAAGTAAGTAAACAGTGCAACCAGTAAAATACATCTGGAATTATTTTCATATTAACTAGTTATTTAGTATATATATTCATATAATAGTATGTTACGTTATTCAATATTTCGCTCAATTCGGAATCTTTAAATTTTTAAAGAAAAATATATTTATACTTTATTATTATTTAAACACTGATCATGGTCTAAGAAATGAATACAGTACATATAAAAATATTTTATTACGCGTATTAATAACATAATTCCTTTAAAATTGAAAACAAATTCTTTTTAGAAAATATCTATAAGGCGCATTATTTATCAATATGTAATCATTACAATTATTTTTAGTTCAATTATTAATAAAAAGGTTTTCCTCAATAAACATGGAAGTTATTTGATAATTTTGTATTCAATTTATATAATTATTTTTTATATTATATCGAATAAATAGTTAAATAGTTGTTCCCAATAGCTTGCAAAATTTTTACTAGTAATCAAAGTGTTTAGTTGATTAGTAAAGAAACAGTTTTGTTTTTCATGTGAAATCATATGTATATTTTTTCGTCAAAATGGAGTTGGAATATCTTAATTACAGCCATAAAATACTCAAGTATCAACTTCAAATTCTAATTAATAGTTAAATACAAAAATAACTGATCATCTGAATTAAAATGGAAGTTTTTGTACTAATTGTTTTTACTAACAAAAAACTAATGACTACATAATTAAAAAATTAAAAATGAGTAATACATTTAATTTACTTAACTTATATCTATATTAACTATTCATGTTTCTCTAATTTTAGGGCAATTATTTACTATAGAGAGTAATAGAACATTACCATTTGTTCCTATTAAAGAAATACATGGTACAACAATAAAAGAGGGTGAGTATTTAAAATGATTTATCTATTAAGATTGAAGACCGATAATTTTTATCTTAATATGTATACAAAAATACATAAAATGTAAAATTATTCGTTATAAAAATAAATCGATACTAACTTGTTAACATTCCATATTTTTTATCTTATATATATATATATATATATATATATTTCTTACTATTTTCTTTTAAAACTTATTTTACTACTCTTATATAATCTAATTTTAGTAACAACAATTGAAGTACGGCATAATTTCAATTAATAATTTGAATAAAATAGAATAACAAAATGGTGAAATGTTTCACTATGAGAATTTAGTAAATATTAACAACTGATATTTAAAATAAAATAAATTTATCACATCCATGACTAATATAACTTCTCGCTACATGTGTGCACGAGTGTGTGTTGTGAGAAGATATTTTATAGATAAAATATAATAAACTACACTGTCATTTGAATTGTAGAGCAATATGTACAGTTTGCAGTTAATATATCTTTCTGATTAACAAGAGTACTTTTCATGATGAAAATAACTAAATTTTCTTTTATCATACAGTTTTTAAATGATATTGTAAATATTAACAATACTCTTATAGATACATTTGCATTTACATTCTGCAGAAATACGAACAGTAATATATATCTATAATTAAAATAGATTATAAGCAATATCGACATTCGGTTATATTTTTAATTTTATATTAAACTGAATCCGTTAACATACAAAACTGTAAGAGCAATGTCTCATCCATTGTTTTAACAGTAGTAGAGTACGAAAACTTTGTATACAATGTATTCTGAATGTCCAAATGGATGTCATTCTTACATATATTTTTCTCATTTAAACCATCGATAGAAGAGAACATTCGATCAACTACCAAAGTATGAAATTATCTGTACAATCATATATTTTTTGCATATTTTTAAGATTAATTTTTTTTTGTGAACATTTATGTATAAAATTATTCATAAATTATATATTGATATAGCTTTATACAGAAACAATTTTATTTTTTTCTCGAACTATAAACAAAATGAAAGAACCAGACTTGTAATCAGTGATATGAACAATCTATTTTATTAGGTTAAACTTCTAAATATTTTATTTTAATAACGATTTTAATAATTGTATAGTTCGTGTATGTAATTTTATCATTTTCTCTGATACAATTCAAATAATAAATTTATTATGAATTCTTCAATTAATAGAAATATACTATAAACAATTTACGCATCCACTTATCCAAAAATAAATGATCATAATGATACATATATAAAAACAGATATCTATAATGATACATTGAGATTATATAATTCTGTATAAGAAAAAATTGAAACATAAAAGAATAACTTGCCCTTTTGAAAAAAGATATATAATTTACTTTATTTGAATTATTACTTATATAATATATTATCCTACATTATATTTTCGTAAATTTAATAAACGATAATAAGTGGATGAAAATCATACACATTCTTACATTGTATGCTTTATTAGGTAAGGAAAGCAGATTTTTATTACAATTTTAAGATATTAATTAGCATACGAATTTATTATTATTATAGGAATTACATCATCTTATGAACAGTTAAATCTATTAGCAACTGCTGAAGGCCCAGCACATGAGGATAATAATTATCTTGGATATTCTGTAAGTGTTGGAGATTTTCTTGGTAACAGCGATAGTGGAGTAGCAGTCGGTGTTCCTCGTGGAGCGGAACTTCATGGAAAAGTAAACATTACTTTATGTGTAGTTAAAACTAAATATTTCAATTTAAAATCAATTATTTTCATCAACAATATTCTATTTATACAACTGATTTATACCAAAGTAAATTATAAATTAAATTTTATTGAAAAAAAATTAAAATAAAATTCAACTTGGAATTTATTTTCATCATAATTTATTTAATTATTTTAATGTAATTCTAAAATTTTCAAATACTATTTATATAACAATTATTCTAATTTTTTACAATACAAGTTTTATTTTATATTTAATCAAAATATTCTATGAATTAAAAAAAATTATAATAAATGTATAGGCAAAAGTTTTGTTTTAAGAAATTGAGTTACGTTTCATTTCACCTAATGATTTTTTAAAACTTTCTTTCAAAAGTGAAATTTAGTAAATTGATAAAAAATAATATTAAAAATTAAACTTTTTAAAATCAAATACATATGATAAATACATTACACGAGTAAATTGTTTTAACTTATTATAATTACATAATAAGTATATAATAGTATAAAATTAAACGTTTAAGATAACTGCAAATGTTTATATGTACGTATGCATATTTTCAGTAGAATTTTAAAAGCAATAAATATTGATTTTTTTGTATTGAAGAAAGCAGATACTTATTTGGTTTTCAGTATTATAATAGACTTAACCTAATACTTTTTTATTTAAGTTGTGTAAATTTTCAAACTGTAACCTAACAAGTGAATATGATTATCAAATTTTCTTAACTTTACAATATATTATTTTTCATATATTATCGTATTGAAAGTTACTCTCTTAAACATAGTTTCATTCTAAAATAAAAATGAAATAATACATTTATTGTTCTATTAATTAATTAATTAAACTAATATTCTATTGTTCAAGACTTGTAGATATAATTTTGAAGAGTTTCTTTTCATTAAGTTACATTTTTACAGCTGATAAGATTTATTTAATTATTATTTGTTATTTCATAAAGTTGTTTTGTAAAATTATTTGATAAAAAGAATTTTTGTTACAAATAATTAAATTTATGTTTTATAAATATTTATTTTTCTTGACTAATAGTACCTAAAAAAATTTGCAAAATAACGGACCAAATTGTATATTTTGAAAATTACTTTTTATTTTTATTTCAATAATAATAAAAATTTTATTATATGCAATAAGATATTTAAAAAGTGATAACAAATTTATTTTATCTGAATTTAAGATAAGTAAATGTATATAACATGTAATAAATCATAAAATACGTCGGTACCAATAATTTAAAAATTAGCATTTCAGGAAAATAATTTATTCTCTTATATTTCCGTATGCTAAGTACATAACTATGACCATAATTATGTAAAATTTTCTAAGTTAAATTAAATATTAACGCAAATTTTAACAGTTTTAATTTTCTGTAAGCAATAATTTAAAAAGAATATATAACAAAGAAATATTTTTTTTTAATTAAAGTTTCTGCTAATTTAAATTAAACCACTTATTATTTTCTATTTAGTCTTTATACTAAGAAAAAAAAATTTATGCTATGATAAAAATATTTGTATTTTATTGATTAAATGTGTTATTTAAAGAAATTAAAAATTTTATTTTAATAAATATATTTGCATAACCTTTTTTTATAGCTTGTCATTCTCTTTCTTCCTTTTAGTTTACTACTCATTCTCAATCTATTTAAAATTTTGTTGTATTTGTTAAGAACATATACGTTAAAAAATATATAAATATGCTGAAGCTATCTATTGAAAGTTGTTAAAATTGCAAGATTTAATATACATAATACATAAATTTTAATTTTTACAAATTTCGGTATTGTCCAATAAATAGTATATCTTTTCGAAAATTATTTTTTTTATGAATATTTATATTAGCAATATAAATTAATTTAAATCATCTGTAAATATTATACAATAAAACATCAAATAGGTTTTCTTAATAATCTCAAATTCACATTATAAATACTGTTTGAGAATAAGAGACTCCGTTTAATAAGGCAATAAAATATCTGACAAGTAATGTCATGAAAATTGTATTTAAGACTTCAAAACTTTCCTGCTCATAATTAATTGTACTAGTGTCATAAAACATCTGGAAAACTCTAGCGGAACGTGCTCATACTCCCAGTGCAGTAGAACCTAATGGGTTTACTGCCGGGAGAACCCCAAAGTAGATTCGAAACGAATATCAGATATGCGTAAAGCATTGAGTACAAACATTTACTAAAACCCAAAACCCGTACGTGCAACAACATGCAATGACCATACGTGCGCACTCGGCCTTTAAGACAATGCTTGCATTGTTCTTGGCTATGCCACATCTGGTCGATCGTATTGGAAAATTGACCACGCCCAAGCGGACCCTTCTTCTAGCCAAGTCCCAGAGAAGGATGAGGCAACCAAAGAGAGGTGACCAATGAAAAAGGCTCGCCACCTTCCGACACTTTCCCAATTAGCAAATTCGGAACTGAGCCCGGAAGGAAGTGGAAATGAAGGCGTGCATAATCTATTGTGCGACCCAAGATCAACCACTGATTGGTTAATTAATAAAGGAAGAAGGGATCCCAAGTGGAGCGGGATCAGTGAATCATTTTAAGAAGGGACTACGTAATGTACCCTCACTTACTCTTTCCAAATACTTCTTACAGTGAAGGATAAGTCACGACCAACTCTCACGGAGGAGGACCGGAGAGATGAGTCGTTTAGCTAGCTGAGTTTTAATAATAAGTTCTTTCCACTATTGTGAATTAGTGTACAGTTGAATTGATCTCATCAAGACTGGATTGCGTGGGACCTGACCACTTGTGGTCTCACTTGGAGACAAGGAAGAACTGAAGGGTTGCAACATTGCAAGGGAACGTAATAACAAGCCATCGAAGAGAGACTGGAAAATCACGATACACTGCAAGTAAGTCCTTACAGCTAGTACTCATTCTTGATTTCTCGGCTTATGTAGAAGACGGACGGATAAAGTCCAACTACGGAAGCTTCCCGGACATACTCTTGAACAAGACCAGCTATAAACGCCACATTGGCTTCTCAACCCCTCCAACTACAAGTTGTCCCCGCCACAGATAGCGCACAGCTTTGCATAACCTCCATTTAGGCTCTCTTACGACCGATATTTAGAGGCAACTGCACACGTGTTAAGATAAACACAATAGCATTCCAGTGTTCGATCAGAGCACTACAATCATGATAACCTCTTAGCGATAATATTCAATAGATTATAACCTGCTTCATTCATAGTAAATATATTTCAACACCACAAGATTATCAAGAAATATAAAGTTCGTCTGTAATTCACCATTTTGTAAATCAATTCAAATAAATAGAAATAATAAAGACATGTGTTAATTATTAATCAGTGCATTCACCCTTTACTTGCCCGGCAACCCCACATAACATCTAGTGGGTTTTATTGTTCTAAGTTAATTATTGCACGTTTGGCTGACTAGTCAAATTGTGGGATTATTTCCGAACAGTCTCCTACATGGCGAAAATTTTGAGAAAGATCGGGCTCTTAGGTCATGAGTATTTTT